TGACACCCAGGTACTTGATTGAGGTCATTCTGGAAACCGGTTTACCGGTAAGGGTAGCAGAGTCCGTTGTAAATGAAGAGCGGGAAAGACTGAAAATGCACTCTACGCACCTAGATATGTTAAGATTGAGACCAGATTGGTCAGAACACTGCTGGATGTGGGATCGGTTTTCGGTAAAAGAATGAAATTCCGAAGGAGATGAAACTGCCTGACACAAAACAACAGCATCAGCATAATTTTGGATGTGCGCAGGGGGTGGGACCGAAAGATCACTAATAAAAGCAGAAAAAAGATATGACGATAGAAAAGCACCTTGAAGAACACCAGAATTCTTAACAAGAGGTTTTGATGTCCTTCTTCTTAATTTGGTGCACTGGACCCTCTATATGAAATAGTCAGCTAGCTCAGGCGCGGTATAGAACCGGGCGACAGCAAAGTTGTCTATCACCAAAGCTGGGTGGTGGTGGCGGGGCTCGAACCTCGGACGATGGGATCCAAAGCACACCGGTGACAGCGACTAAACCACTGCGCCACCACCACCTAATAACTGTAGAACGCGCGGTAAGTGGTTTGTATTACTTGATCTCCTTGAATCAACAAAAAAATTCAAAGCCTCGGCGCTTTTGAGATGCCACAAGTCATCTGATCAAGAAGAACTAACACCACAATCTTTTTAGATTGATCTGTACTGAAGAAAGAGATATGCAACCTTCTGTGACGCGTGTGTAAAACAGATGAAGTTCCGTCTAAATGTTGGCAATCAAATGTTATTTTCGTCTTTTAGAAAGCTTATCAGTTGATCGCCGCACAGTTTATGAAATTAGAACCTAAATATAAGGCGATGGTTGCATGGAGCGAAGGGAACACTGGTATGAGGGAACAGGTTTGAGGCAACAAAAAAATAATAATAATACGACCACGCACTTCATTGAAAACTAACCGAGATATTTTTGGGCAAGTTGAGGTCTTCTGCCATCTGACTGATTTCACGGAACGCACCAGTTAGGACACGACCAGCGGACGACATATTACGTCTATTCCGATAAAGCGGCTTTCCCTGTTCGTCCACCTGTCTCGAATCAGACAAGGATGAACCGCTGATCATTGTAGACAGGTCACTACCGTTCAGAAGTGGGTTCTCCGTAGCACCCACACGACACATATCCTTTGCGTTGGCATCGTTGGAAAACGTGCGCCACTCGGATCCCACATCAATCACTCTGGAAACAACAGAAATCGAGAGATATCTCCAGTAGAAGGGAGTAGTAGAAGATATGACAGATTTCATCGAATAAAAGACAAAGGAAACGTTAATTCAAAATTCGGAAGCACGTATAGCCATTTCGACCTTGCTGGGTTTATTAGTAGTGCGAATACATCATCCCTAACTGAAGATTAGACCCTGGACCTCACACGAAGAACGCAAGAATACTATAAATTTTAACACCGGGAAGCTGATTAAATAGCCTCATTTCACCTTTAAACGATATAGAACCATAAACTTTCTCCCACCTTAAAACCGGCCCACTCCCTGTCCAACTTACACATTCGTACTCTGCATATATGTGCGTGTGCTTAAACAACCGTGCATCATGCATTCCGAACAGCGGTTTTAATTGCCATCTATTAGCTGCCCTTTTGGATGAAAGAGAAGAGGGGAGAACTGGAATGTTCCATTCCGTGGCATTACGGAAATAAAGAATTTTTGTAGACTACGGTTTCATGGAGAATGATATGTATGGGACCTATACAACTGTCTCTGATTAGCGGTTACACTGAGCACGAGGTCCCCAGTCAGGAAGCTTAACGCGACTTACTTGACCAAGTCTCCTGGTCAGGGTTTCGAATTCTCATGCCATATTTAACTTTAACCAATCTTTACTTTTTCCAACCTATTACATGTCTCGGCAAACATCGCGCATCATGGCAACTGATTTGGTGACACGTAACACATGCCCCAATCTGCGTAATTTATGGAGGTCGACCAATTACTCTGATCAATGGCAACAGCCACCTAAAACTCTACGCTTAAACTCAGCATTGCTTGTACGATTGCCCGACCAAACTCGTGCAATGCGGTGTAGACAGTCGTACTCGACAACCGAGAATCTATTTTATCCTGTTACCGCAATGGCCGAGTTCCTGCACCGTACAGCAGCACTGGCTGAACTGTTGCCGCATACTCTCGACCCTCCACAAAAAGACAGAAGTCGCGACGGTGCCGCAGATGTCGCAAGTTGGCGATTGCCAATAGAGAAATTTTATGCGAGCGGATACTACATCCGTGATACGTCCTCCGGGTGAGATATAACTGGTCAAAACACAAAAATGGTCCACTTGCTCTATTATTTTCCCTGTTAGAGTGAGGCTGGGACCAGTCCTGTAACACCATACACTTTCAAGGTGCAAAGCGCGTGCCAAACGCGGCTACAATAGCACTCAAAGAATTCTGAAAATATTGCAACTTACCCGGATTTTCATTTAGTAGTAAAATGTCGTCTGTATAGTCCAAATCAGAAAGTCTATCACCCGGAAGCAAATCGACACCACTATCCACCCCGATGCTTCTTTGAGCCTGGCCCAGCACGTGCAAATAGAGTACAGAAAGACAGACGATGGGCAGGTATAAGCAAAACGTGACCAAGCCGTCGGAGGCGGTGTAGAGCGATTACTTCTTTTAGAGAACGACTATCCACACCCAACACGATACCGAGCCTCAACACTGCTCACCCGATGTTCCCACCAGACATGGACAATGCTTCGGAGACATTGGTAGTCGAATACAAAAAGTCGATCAGCATCCTCAATGCGGAGAGGCCAGATATCGCAACCGTAGAGCAGAACACTACGAACCTCAGCGATGTACACCCTTTTCTTAAGGGACAGTCGGATGTCATGGCGGGGCCACAGGTGTCGTCGGTTGATAAAAGCTGCTCTAGCTTTCGTTATTCGTGATGCGATCGCCTCCCCAACACCAACACTATCTGCAATCAAGCTTCTAAAGTACTTAAAGCTTTCAACCACTTCCAGGTGATCATCAGGGACGGTGAGTACAGCCAAGGGCTCCTGTCAGTTTTGAACAAGCACTTTGCACTTGGACGGTGTAAAGCACATGCCGTACCAAGCTGTTTAGAGCGTGTTGGACTGTCTGTGTTGTCATCCAGTAAGTAGATGTCATCGACATATTCTAAGTCAATGACTCTGTTCCCTGAGAGGAGCTCGATTCCACCGTCTGCTAGACCGGGCAAAGCATTCTGTAGAACGTCCCCTATGACAAAGTTGAAAAAGGAATGGGGATATAGGGCAGCCTTGTCAAACTCCACTGAAGGGTATCGAAAGCTGATCTGAGGTATGACGATACAACTCATGTACTCCATTCCTCAACAAACAATTCCATAGTGCGGTCCTATCGACAGAGTCGAAGGCCGCGCGGATGTCTAAGAACACAATGATCGTCGGTCTTTGATAGGCATGAAGGTGCTCTAGTAGCTGTCGAAGGGTGAATATTTGACCGATGCATCCACAAACGGTGCGAAACCCAGCCTACTCCTCCATGATCTGCTCCTCAAACATATTGTTGCACAATCGTTTTCATTGATTCATCTTCCGTAGAGATTATCGTCTGTACAGATCAAATAAGGAAATTGCATGTTGAACGAGGATAGACATTCAGTCATTCAAAAATCACGATGGTTGGTTAAAAGAGAGACAAATGGGGCGTGAGTGGTGCAACGTGTTTCACGCCCCTAAATCACCACAACATTGCAATCAGATTGTGATGCGTCATCCGTGCGATTGATCTTCGGCCACGGCAGTTGAATGGCATGGACCAATTTCTTTTGTGCACATAGAGTGAGTGTGAACAAACTAATGCCGATCGCTTTTGCAGTGGCGAGGGTGTTGAGACGCAGCATTGTACGGGTGAGGTGATACGTGATAGATAACTCTGAATGCTGCTTCAGGTTTCACTTGGTGACCCGAGTCTGTTAGGTGAGCTAGGATAGCGCTTCCTGTGACAACTTTTTCACCGTGTTGAAGCCAGCGTGGACAGTGTTGTTTAATCCGCTGAGACCGTTTCCTCGCC